ACCGAGGGGAGGGACAGTGGGAGCGATGGAGAGGCCTAAGGGAGAGAAGGGGGCGGGGCAAAGGGGAAGGAGGGCGGGGCTTCGGGGGAGACGGAATTAGAGCAGCGGTTCTCAACGTGTGGGTCGCGACCCCTTTGGGGGGTCAAACGACCCTTTCACAGGGGTCGCCTAAGACCATCGGAAAACATATATATAATTACATATTGTTTTTGTTTTTTGTTTTGTTTTGTTTTTGGTGCCCGTGACCGGAATCGAACCTGGGACCCTTGAGTCCACAGGCCGCCGCTCTATCCACTGAGACAACCCAGTCAGGGCTACATATTGTTTTTGTGATTCATCACGATGCTTTCATTATGTTCAATTTGCAACAATGAAAATACATCCCGCATATCAGATATTTACATGACGATTCATAACAGTAGCAACATGACAGTGAAGAAGTAGCAACGAAAATAACTTTATGGTTGGGGGTCCCCACAACATGAGGAACTGTATGAAAGGGTCGCGGCATGAGGAAAGTTGGGAACCAGTGAATTAGAGAGACCCAGGGAAAGATGGAGAGAGAGAGACGCCGGCCCAGGCCCAGAGAGCAGCAGAGACCCCGAGGATGGAGAGAGCGAGCCGGCAGGAGTGCAGACTTGGGAGGCGCCGTGAGACCCTGCTCCCCGCTGCCCCCAGGAGGTGAGGGGAGTCCCTGTAGCTCGGCGGGCCCTCCCCGCGCTCCAGCCCCAGGTGTGTCAGGTCCCACTTAATCCTCAGCGGACCTGAGTCTCCCAGCCCCACCCCGCGGAGGGCGCTGAGGCCCCAGGCGGTGCCACCTCTTGCCCAAGGGTACACAGCCGGGATTCACCTGACCGAGAGTGTAAGGAGAGCCCTAGCCAGGGTGGCGCAGTGGATAGAGCGTTGTCCTGCGGACTGAAGGGTCCCCGGTTCGCTTCTGCTCCAAGGCACATGCCCGGGTTGCAGGCTCAGTCCCCAGTAGGGGGCGTGCAGGCGACAGCTGATCAATGATGAGAATGTTTCTCCTCTCCCTTTCCCTTCCTCTCTGAAATCAATAAAAAAAATACATTTTTTTTAAAAAAGAGAGGAAGTCTAGCCCTGGCTGGTTTGGCTCAGTGGATAGAGCGTCGCTCTGTGGACTAAAAGGTCCCGGGTTCGATTCCGGTCAAGGGCATGTACCTTGGTTGCGGGCACATCCCCTGTAGGGAGTGTGCAGGAGGCAGCTGATCGATGTTTCTCTCTCATCGATGTTTCTGATCTCTCTCCCTTCTTCTCTGTAAAAAAACAATAAAATATATAATAAAATATATATTTTTTAAAAAAGGCCCCGACTTAGGTTGCAGGCTCCTCCCTGGCCCGGGCCCTGGTTGGGCTCATGCAGCAGGCAACCAATCAGTGTGTTTCTCTCACATCGACCTTTCTCTGTCTTTCCCTCTCTTTTCCACTCTCTCTAAAAATCAATGGAAACATATTCTTGGATGAGGATTTTAAAAAAAGGAAAGAAAAAGGAAGTCCAAAGAGAGAGGGGGTAAAATTGGGAATGACCCACCAAGCAGGAGAGTGACGGTGACACAGACCAAGACACGGGAAGTGTCCTTCCCTCCACTTTATCCCTCCTCTCCCTCCTATTCCCTTTCCTAAACACACTCTCCAGCCTGCACTCCTGTCCCCGAAGACCTGCTGTGGGTCCCCATCGCCCCCTGGTGACACCCACTCCAGTCACGGACACGTGGGCCCGCTCTGTCTCCGCGCCACATCTCCTGCCTCCTCTGCGGTCATGACAGCATCTCTCAGACCACGACAGCCGGGCCCTCACGCCCGTTGGCCTCTGGCCCTGCTCTCCCTGCTGCAGGACTGGCCCTGCTCCACAGAACACTTCCCATGCGTCCTTTAAGGTCCAACTCAACCTCGCTGACTTTCTCTGGGGTCTTCATATTGTGAGCTCCCCACTGTTGTTTGTATCATCCTGTGTTGCATCTCCGTGGGCTGGTACTGCCACTCCACCCACCAGGGAGCCCCTTGTGGGGGAGGCCTGGGTCCCTGGTGTCTATGGGCTTAGCACTTCCAGCAAAAAAGCGAACCCAAGAAATCAGAGATTCGTGATTCCCAGGGTGGGTGGCTGGATGGGTGAACAAATGCGTAATTGAATGGATGGGTGGGTGAGTGGATAGATGGTTGGTTAGGAGATGAATGGAGTAGTTGGTGGATGCATGGATGAACAAATGGATAGTTGAATCGATGGGTGGATGGACAGATTAGTCGATGGGTGGATGGGTGGCTTGGTAAATGAATGGGTTGGTTGATGGGTGGATGTGGATCGGTGGAGAATTGGTTGATGGATGTGTGGATGGATGGATATGATTAGATAGGTGGATGGGTGAATGGGTGGCTGGTTGGATAGTTTGAGAGATGGGTACGCATATGGATAAGTGGGTGGTTGGGTTTGTTAATGGTGAATAGATAGATGGAACAGATGAATGGATGAATGACTGAATCATTTTCTCAAATGAGGATTCCGTAACACAATTGAAATCTGATACCCTAAGATTCTCTATAAGTCATGAACTAACTTACGTTTTATGCATCCAGACGACTAGTCATGTACCCTTCTCTCTGAGAATTGAGAAAGTAGTCACTCCAGTCCTATGGTTCAGGTGAGGAAACCACTCTAAGAGAGGGTGAACAGCTGTGCAATAGGTGAAGCAGGAGCTAGCAGATGTGGCATATAATGCAGAAACCGCCACCTGTGGGTACAATTACCCCTGGAAATCCTTTACCCAGAAGTCTCGCAGCTGGTGGACCTCCACTGAAGGAGCCACCTGCCAGAAACTGGCCAAGCTGACTTTCATGTAGGCCACAAAGGAATGAATGGATATGGTTGGATAGAGATGTGGGTGGTGGGTGGATGGATGGTTGGATGGATAGATGAATGAATGGGTGGAAGGATGGTTGGGTAAATATTTGTGTTAACAGTTTTATACTACCTGATATTTTCTGTAATTCTTTATTTACTGAGCACAACTACATTCCAAATACTATATTAAATTAGAAGATAAGGGTAGGAAGCCCTCTCCCCTGCCCCCAATAATGTTAGGTATAGTGTCTGCCCTCAGTAATTTATACTGCAATTGTGGAAGATGAGGGATGGATGGATGGATAGATGGATGAGTGGATGAATGGAAAGGTAGACGGATGGGAAGGTGAGTGGATGGATGGGAAGGTAGATGGATGTATGGAAGGGTGGATGGATGGATGGATGGTGGATGGATGGATGAGGGAGGGATGGTGGATGGATGGATGGATAGATGGATGGATGGATGGATGGGTGGATGGATGGATGGATGGATGGAAAGGTGGATGGATGGATGGTGGATGGATGCGTGGATGGGTGGATAGGATCCAGACATAGAACTCCTCCTCAATGGGAAGGTTGAGGTACTCCCACCACATGACGGACAGAGATCTTGAATTTTAACAGAAGGACCCACAGGCCCTGGCCCCAGTGCCTCTCCTCCCACTCTGGGACCAAAATGAGTTGAGCGGCCATGCACCCACCCTTTGTCATTTGCTCCTTGTCTTCTTCCTCAGTCTCTGCCTGTCTCTGTCTCTGTGTCTCTGTGTCTCTGTCTCTGTCTCTCTCTCTCTCTCCCTCTCCTCGTGTCTCTCTCCCTGTCTCCCTCATCTCTTTTCGTCCCTGCACCTCTGTCTCTCCTGGTCTCTTTCCCCACCTGGACCACTGTGTTCCGGTGAGTTAAAGTCACATGCGTGCTGCAGCCGATCAGGGCGTTGAGGGCCGAGGAGACCGTGGGCAGTGTGTCAGGCCGTGGGTGAGGGGCTGAAGCGGGTGGAAAGGGCTTTCCGGTGTCCCTGAGGCCGCTGGGTGGTGGGTGCGGAGAGCACAGGGCTATGGGGTCCCCAGCGGCTGCTAACACCCCCCTCCCTCCTGCAGACGAAGCCAAGGATGCACCTGAGAGGACCCGACGGGGATGCAGCCACCCCCACATCACCTGGCCGCCGGGATGCCGCCCCGCGCTCCTTTGTCACCTGCATAAATGACTGCTTCCTATCTCTGCTTGTCTGTCTGGAAGAGGGACGCCTCTGGGGCCGGGGGCGGGAGGGCCCGAGTGGACTAGGTCACATCCACATGCACTGAGGATCCCAGGCCCCTGGGGACACCGGTTCTCCAGCCCTGACCCCCCCTCCCGGCCCAGACGCCCCCCTCCCAGGCCCCTCTGTTAGTTTGGGCCCCTCCCAGGAGCAGACCGAGGGGCAAATTAGACTTGCAATGATGTTTACTGGGGGAAAGACAGGCAGGGGAGGTTGACAGGGCTCAGACGCTGAGAAAGGAGACGGGGGAGGGTCAGGGTTCATGTGGGTCTTGAACTGTACCGCACGTCCCAGAAAACTTCTGCTGGACCACGGGGGGCTGAGAGGTCAGGTTGTCCGCTGGGGGAGGCTCACGTCCTGCAGGGACGACCCCCACTGTGCTCGGTCGGAAGCCTGGGAAATGCTAGGAGGGTCACAGGGTACCATGGCAGGGAGCTGGGGTGTCACGAAGAATGTTGAAGGGTACAGCCCCCTCAGCCTGGTTCAGACGACCCTCAATTCCCTCATCTCAGACCCCCTTCCACAGCCCAAGCCCTGCCACTCAAGCCCTCCCACCCTCACCACACACACACACACACACACACACACACACACACCCTGCCTCCAGGCCTCATCCGCCTCCACCTCCCATGGCTCCCAGCAGAGAGACCAGGTGCCTGTATGCTGTATGTTTGTTCTTTTTTCTAAATATTTTTATTGATTTGAGAGAGGGAGAGGGAGAGAGCGAGAGAAACATCCATGATGAGAGAGAATCATGGATCGGCTGCCTCCTGCACCCCCCGACACTGGGGATCGACCCCGCCACCCGGGCCTGTGCCCTGATGGGGATTCGAACCGTGACCTCCTGGTTCATAGGTCGACGACGCTCAACCACGCAGCCACGCCGGCCAGGGCCGGATGCTATACCTTTATTGAGGGGTGCCCCTCGGGGTGCCCCTAGTCCTCCTCCCCTTCTGTTTCTTCCACTTCGGTCCCCGAGGCCTCCAGGGTGCCCTTCAAAGGCTGGCTGGCGCCGGACTGGCTGCCGGAGGACTTCTTCCTGGCCTGGGACCTCTGAGAGGTGGAGAGCCTGGAGCGCCCCTTGGATTGCCTGAAGCCGCACAAGTGCAGCATGTCCTGGCTCTTGACCCACCTGCCGGGAGGGAGACGCTCAGCCCCAGCCCCTGGCTGCTGCCTCCTCCTCCTCCTCCTCCTCCTCCTCCTCCTCTTCCTCCTCCTCCT